GCCTGCATTTCGCGCACTCGACACGCACGATCTCCGCAGAGGGTTGCATTTTCGGTTGACGCTGTTCGTCCCACCCTCCGCCTTTAAACATCTCCCGCGCAAGTTTTCCAATACTCACACTTGCATACTCATTAGGACATCTCCCGTGCAAGTTGTACTTTTGCACTTGGATACTTGCCGTGGAATGCTTTCACTCTTCCACTTACACTGGGATACGTATAGACGTGATAGACGTGTCAGTGTTCAAGTGTAAGTGTGGAAGCGTAAGTGTTCAAGTGTACGTGTAGAAATGTCAGTGTTCAAGTGCAAGTGTGGAAGTGTCAGTGTGTAAGTGTAAGTGTAGAAGTGTCAGTGTTCAAGAGATTTTCCGGAAGAACCCTTCGCAATGCTTTCGGGAAAAACTCTGAGCCTTAATAGACTAACTTCCAGGCCAGTAGTAATAGTAGCAGTAGTAGTAGCAGTAGTAGTAGTAGCAGTAGCAGTAGCAGTAGAAATAGTAGTAATAGTAGTAATAGTAGTAGTAGTAGTAGTACAAGTACAAGTACAAGTACAAGTACAAGTAGTATGATTATTGTTATTATTAGTAGTAGTAATTAGTAGTAGTACTAGTGCTAGCTGCTTTCATTTGCTTTCATTCTGCTTCTGAAGCAAAAGAAAAGAAACCATTATGATATCTGGATGTTGGCGCAATTAAAAGTAAATAGTTTTGTAAAATTCTGACTGTCTCAGGTTTACAATTGATAAATGTTGGCGCAATTAAAAGCAGTATTGCAAAATCCTGGCAGACAAAAAAATAAATACTTTGTCTCATGGTTCATTACTGGGATGCTAACATTACAGCTTTCCTCATTGAAATCCTTCAGACTAAAAGCTTCTTTGGCTCTGCAACCATATCCCATTAAGCTGCTATCATCCCGTGAATGAAAAGCACCAGGAGAAACAGAACAAACCAAATAATTCTGCAATGTTTCTACTGTAACTCAACCTATGACAAGTTCCAGCTAATATTGTTGATTGCCTGCTCTGCATATTCACTGTTGAGACATCTATGAACGCTTCTGTAGCAAATTCTCATCACATCCTGGAAGTAGCGCACACCTCGGGTAGACACAAATGCTGAGCAAAAGCCACACGCGACAAACACGTTCTCGCTACGTACACTCACTTGCTAACCTGTGAATATAATCTATGGACAAGAGGCGCTTCTCTTCTCGGTCTAAAAACTTCCTGCGGGGCAAAGGTGAGCCAAAGCTGCCAAATGTCTTCACATGGTCTCCAACCTAATAGCGATGGCCTCCAACCTACAAGCGATGGCCTCCAACCTACTTGCAGAAGGAACCTAATACATGTAGCAATGACCTCCTAATCAGCAATCTATCATAATCTATATATGATGTAATTTATCACGGGCAATCATAGGAGCACCTTTCCCTGCCTCATATTTTCTTTTTCTCTACCTCCTGGCTTTATCAAATTCCTTGGTTGAGAAAATGCGGTCGCTGGTCTTGGGGTCGGTGGGCGGATCGGTCCAAGCATTGCATCAATGCATCTACTAAGGTGTTGTTATGCAACTCAAGCCACTGCTTTACGAGGGTGTCTGAACATACAGCTGGTTTGAATCGATAGCTCTCTGGGTCTCCCGTGGCCCCATCAAGAAAAGAGCTACCTTGTGAACTTCTAGATTCAAGCCAACTGTGCTATCCAAGTTGCTTGGGGATATTCTGGATGTGCAAGTGCCCTTGCGCATCCCCAACTGCAAGCTTCTGACCTTCCCTGATGTCGCCTAGGCTCCAACAAAGGTGACTCAAGATTATCAACAGTGACTGCGCTGAGCAACTGACCATGGTAGCAAAACATCATAGAGGTGATGGCCACTGAGGCCCCCGTGTCAGAAAGTGATGCCTCGATAGGACAGGCAAATGGGCGGCAACGTGTAAACCTTACACGGCAGTTGTTACACACAGTTGTTTAGGCTGAGGGCCTAAACTGCTAAACGGGTAATATCTCAAACGCCTATTGATTGATGCTTAGAGAAGTATGCTTATTAAATAGCAAGTTTCAACCATAGTGAAGACGTCTAACGTTTAATGTTTCTTCGAACAAATGGAGACCTTGTCTTTTTGAATTTCAAT